GAGATGATCCTTGCTGTAAATGTTTGTTCTCTCTTTTAAGCTACTACATCCATAAGTATAGATCAAGTTCATCAAATTGTAGTGGATTACACTCTTTTTCCTCTTCTTTCTTCCTCTAGTCAAGTCTGATCATCCAGCCATTGAAGCTAGGTCAAATGTGTACTATCTGCAAGTATGGGCATTCTTGTGCATCTCCCCTCACTTCACATCAGCTGGGCACATCATTCTCTCCTCTAGTCCTCTGTGGCTATGCTTCTGTCCATAGGATCGGGAGTCCTCAGGTCTTGCTATACCTCTGGCCATCCAGGACGTGATGCAGGTTGACAGGAGTCTATTGAACTTTGTTGGACTTAGCTCACAGCGTCATTGCTGTTTTTCCCCCACTTCACCTTATTGGTAGATCAATGTGGTCACCAGCAAGATTACATGCTTGCTCTTGTATTCCCTGGAAGGAGGTTTACACTGAGGGGACAGGATTACTTGCCTTGATGGCTCCCCAGTGAACAACTTGCTTGTTTTTGAATTAGTCAATCATACTGCCCTTATTGTTTTTTTATTTTTCCTGCTGGCCTTTCCTTCAAGAAGTATCATCTGTTCCTTTAGCTGATCCAGGCTGGGCTGCTTGTCCTTTCAAGTGGAAATTTTCCAGCTCAGAAGATTCTGGATGGGGATCAGGATTCCACCTATGGTCTTATGCAATGCAAATGCTCCCCAGGAATCCTCTTTCATTGGACAAATACCATTTTAGGTATTCCAATCAGTTATAGAGTGAAGACTGGCTTACAAGCTTTCTATAGTGATATTTCTGGCTATTCCTTTCTCTTCCCCTCAAGTGTCTATTTTATAACAATAGGTAAGGGAAACCAAGATTCATAAGACAGTCGAGCATCTTCACATTATTTCCCCTCTTTTACCCATTCAAACCATGCCTCACTCCCTGTATGCCAGAGCCCTGTTGTTCCAAGGTTGAGCACAAATTACTATTTATCTCTATCCCACTTAGCCCATGTAAATCTGCCCAAATGTTCTCCCATCTGCCTTGTTCTTCCATTCCCCTCCCCTTTCTTCTGTATCCCCTCCAACACCAAAACTGTCTTGTGTCTATTCCCTGTCCTTGATCCAGGTCCCCCTCCCTCTCCTTGGCCCACCCCCTGCACCCTGCTAATCAACAGTTTTTCTTCCCTCCCCCCTTTTAGTGTGGTTACATTTTCCTAAGCTTTTACAATAATGGTCTTATGCAGTATTTCTCCTTTTGTGACTGACAAATTGCACTCAGCATAATTTCCTCATGGTTTATCATGTTATGCAGAGGCTTGCAGCTTCCTTGTTATACTTCAATCAATGTAGCACAATATTCAGTGGTGTGTAGGTATCAGTTTGTTTAACCGTTCTTCAATTGATGGGCACTTAGGCTGTCTCCTCCATCCTTTTGCTATTGTAAATAGTGCTGATATGAACACTGGTGTACATATATCCACCTGTGATACGGCTCTTACTTCTTGTTTGTCTAATCAATTTCTTCTTTTGTTATGGGTCTTTTAAAGTTTTCTACTTCACTCTGTATAACTTTAGGTAGGTTGTGTTTTTTAAAAAATGTATCCATCTCTTCTAAGTTTCCAAATTTGTTGTAGTACAACTCTTCATAGTAGTCTGTTATTATCCTTTTGATTTCCTTTGGTTCCATTGTAACATCGTCCATGTAGTTTCTAATGTGTGTTATTTGTGTATTCTCCCTCCTTTCTTTTGTTGGGTTTGCCAATGGTTTGTTGATTTTATTAATTCTTTCAAAGAACCAGCGTTTTGTCCTGTTGATTCTTTCTATAGTTTTTCTGTTTCCTATCTCATTTATTGCTGCTCTGATCTTTATCATTTCTATTCCTTTTGTTACTGTAGGTTCCCTCTGTTGGTCGGTTTCTAATGGTTAGAGATGCTATGTTAATGTGTTAGTTTTGATTCTTTCTTCTTTTCGAATGTGCGCATTTATTGCAATAAATTATCCTCTAGGCACTACTTGCACTGTGTACCAAAGAATTTGGTATGTTGTGTTTTCATTTTCATTTGTTTTTAGGAACTTTCTGAATTCTCATTTAATTTCTTCTATTATCCAGACACTCTTCAGCAGTGTGTTATTCAGATTCCATGTATTAAACTTTATTTTCTT